CTGAGGTCGGTGCCTTGGCTGGCCAAAAGCTGCCTTGACTGTCTTTGCGTCCCTAGGATCTGGGCGCGAGCAGTCTTGGGAGGGAGGAGCTGCCGAGCCCCGCAATTCCATTCCTGGTTTCTTAAAGATTCGGGGTCCCCCAGTCATGAGACTGTAGAATTAGCAGTGTGGAGGTCCATAAACAAGGGTTCCCATAAAAAGGAGTTGCAAGCCTTCAAACTCACTAAAGGGGCACGGAGGCGGCCTATGGGTGTAGTGTCAGCCCGTGTCTCACTGATTTTAAAAGTTGCAAGCCGAACCAAAAAATAAATAAATAAATAAAATTCCAGAACTTTCAGAGGATGATAACGAGTCATACGTTCGTTTTACGACTTCCTGGGCTGAGTCCAGGAGTCAGAAGACGAATTTGAAAAATTCCTGTGGTGAGGGTGGAGACAGGAACTCCCGTTTTCATCTGGTTTTGTAGCTGGCTTTCTAACTTGCCCTGGGGAGGGGAACCAAGATACCAGAAATTAGTGGAGAAACGCTGAGATCCCGGGAAGAGAAGTGGAACCTGGGGATGTTCCCACTGCGGACACCCTCGGGGGTGAGGGAGGCTCCTTCTGCTTGCGTCACTAGTTCTCCAACTGCATATGTGGTTAAAAAGTCACTGAACACAAAGTGGCAGCGCAAACTTCAAGTAGGCAGTTCTGTTACTGCCTTCCCCACCGGCTGCTCTCTCTGTAGCTACTACTAAGATATAAATACAATAGAACAAATGGCAGACGTTGTCAGTTATACAAACACACGCGCCAGTATCCATCCCCAAAACAATTGGTTTCCCCAGCCCCCCTTTAAAACCACCTTAGTATCCTAGACTGGCCTCAAACTCCACTTAAAGTTCAGGGTGACCTTGAACCAATGTTCCTGCCTCCCCCCTCCCAAGTGCCAGGATCACAGGCCAGCATCCACCACCAAGCAATTTATATGGTGCTGGAGACAAACCCTAGGACTTCTTCCAGGGTAAGCCAACTGGGCCATTATCGACATTTTTGTTAATGATCTGGTGCCATTATCACCTCTAGCAAATATGTATATAAATATATGCGTATATATATTTCATATTCTACTTTTCAGTTATCAGTATCTGAGGGCCGCCTTTGGTTGCTCTAACTCCTGGTGTCCTCGGCACAAATGAGGTCCTGACTAGTAAAATAACACCCATCCATTGAAGAAAGAGGGAGGGGGAAGGTCGCCGCCATTCTCTCCTCCCAGATGGCAATCTCGCAGAGCCTCTTCCTCCCGCCGAGCGGGCTGAGCTAAGTGGACAGCCCCGCCTCTGCTTCCCCGCGCCCGGACTTGTCAGCAGCTGCGCGCTTTTGCATCTGGCGCCAGTTTTGACCTCGGCTACGTGATTGGTCGGCTCCGCTTCAATCAACGTCACAAGTCCCACCCACCCCTCAGTCCTCGCTCCGGGGTCACTCCAGGAGCTGGGCACGTCAGCGTTAAGGCGACCGGAGGTGGGGAAAGGGAGTCTGGTGAGATTGAGTGCTTCCTGCAAACCCACACAGCAGTCTGCATCAGACTGACAAAAACGCAGGCACAGCACCCACAGCCCCTGCACAGCCGTACCAGGTCATGCACATTTTTAATCCAGATGGAAAGGGAAAATAGTATTTTTAGGCCTGTTTTATAGGTAAGGAAATAAAGGCCAGAGAGCCATGGAAACGACCCAAGGCCCCACAGCATTTTGAGTCGCACCACTAGACCCTCTCTGACTCCTATTGTTGTTGTTGTTGTTTGGAAATTTATTTTGTGTGAGATGTGGAACCCACTAGTGTGAAAGTCAGAGGCTAACTTGTTGGATCTCTCCTATTCTGCAGGATGGAACTCATGAAGGTAGGCTTGGCTGTTGAGCTATCTTGCCAGACGCGCATGCGCGCGCGCGCGCGCGCGCGCACACACACACACACTTGTTAGGAACGTTCCCAACATAGAGAAAAAGTGAGCAGCCCTGGATGTCAACGTGCTTTTAATCCCAGCATTTAGTACTACATAAAGAGACCCTGTCCCCACCACCCCCAAAAAATAGAAAAAAGAAAGCAAGAAAAAAAACGAACTCTGGGGGCCGGGGGCAGTGGTGGCACATGCCTTTGGTCCCAGCACTCGGGAGGCAGAGGCAGGCAGATCTCTGTGAGTACAAGGCCAGCCTGGCCTACACAGTCCAGGACAGCCAGGACTATTTTCACAAAGAAATCCTGTCTCGAAAAACCAACCAACTAACCAGCCAACCAAGTAACTAACCAAACAAACAAACAAAAACCCTGGGTTCACCCACCAGTGCTATTTGCTGTTTGCCTTCCCCTCTTCTGGGCATGTGTGAAGTTCCTTGTTTTCTTCGGAGCCCTTGAAAGTGACTTGTGCCTGAATTGGTGCCACTTGCTCTTAATGCCAGCAACATTGGTTTTATTAGGAACAGTGAAAGTGAACTGGGGGAGATGGCCCACACCTTTAATCCCAGTGCTTGGAGGCAGAAGCAGGTGGATCTCTGTCATTTAAAAGCCAGCCTGGTCTACAGAGCGAGCTCCAAGCTAACTTAGGCTACGTAGTGAGACCTGATCTCTAAATAAATCAGTAAGTAAGAAAGAATTTAGGGAGTTGGAAAGCTGGCTCAGTGGTTATGAGTACTTGCTGCTCTCTCAGAGGACATGTGTTCGGTTCCCATCACCCACATGGTGGCTCACAACCATCTGAAACTCTAGTTCCAGGGGATTCGACATCCTTTTCTAACCTCCCAGGGCACCATCATGCATGATTAAGGTAATAGTTCATTGCCAAAGTGACTAACGGTGAGAGTGGCTTCAGTCCAAGGCTGGACATTTAGATGTGCTTGCAGAAGTACTTTTTGTGCAAGGTTGAGGTGGCCCCTGCAAGCCTGTGTTTCTGGCAGCACATACTGTGAAGGACAATCCCTTCCTTCATAGCCTTCTGCCTTTATGTATTGGTGAGGCTGACACAGCAACTCCAGTTTGATCTTGGCACCTTACGTTTTTCTCACTACTGAAAATGAGATTATACTGTGAATTGTTAATTTTCTTGGGTATAGACATAGCATTGTGATGATGGAGAATAGCTTTAATTTTAGAATCAATCTTTTGCTGAATAGTAAGGGGGTACCATCTACAATTCTTTTTGTTTTGTTTTTGTTTGGTTTGATTTGGTTTTTCCAGATAGGCTTTCTCTGTGTAACAGCCTTGGCTGTCCTGGAACTCACAGAAATTCACCTGCCTCTGCCTCCCAAGTGTTGGGATCAAAGGTGTGCACCACCACCACTTGCCCTGCAATTCAATGGCTTTTTTTAAAGCAGGGTCCCTCTATATAGCCCTGGCTATCCTAGAACTCATTATGTAGGCCAGGCTGACCTTGAATGCACAAAGATCTGACTGCCTCTGCCTTCTTGGATCAAAGGTATGTACCACCATACCCAGCTTACAGATCACTTATTTTATTTTACTTTATTTTATTTTGTGTGTATGAGTGTTTTGCCTACATGTATATATGCCCGAAGAGGCCAGAAGAAGGTGTTGGATCTCCTGGAACTGGAGTTAATAGCCACTGTGACCTACCATGTTGATGTTGAGAACGAACCCAGGTCCTCTGCAAGAGCATCAAGTGCTCTCTCTAGCCCCAACACTTTAGTCTTAGAAAAAAAATGTTATTTATTTAAGACAGGATCTTATGTGTCTCAGGCTGGCCTTCAACTCAGCATGTAGCTGAGGGTGACCTCGAACTTCTGCTCTTCCTGTCTTCAGATCACAGGTAAGTGCCACTATGCCCGGATTACAGCACACCTGGTTTACATGGCGCTGGGAATTGAACCCAGGGCTAGCACTCTACTGAGTCTCTGCCAGTAAATTCTTTCTAATACATGCCGTGTGTTCCCGGGGTGGGGGAAGAAGGAAGCAGACTTCAAAGTTATTCTGAATTAGAAGACCGGGAACAGCCTGTACAAAGATTTGCAAGTAGGATAGAAATCCCACCCCTAGAGAGGAGGAAGGAAGGGCAGAGTCAGTTTGGATGGACGAGACTCCTATGGCCGCTCTGACTACTCACTTACCTTAGCTAAATGGTGAGTGAGAGACAAAACCCAGGAAAGTCAGCCTTAAAATGACGCAATGATGAACTTCCCAGAAGTGTCACTGCAAGAGAAGAGTGGTCAGTGTGATAGAATGAAAGGGCCTAATGGGAGAGGAGGGTTGGAATGTTCCCATTACTCATTCACTCGATGCCCTTGACTCAGCCAGTCACTTGAGATTTCTTCTTTTGAGATAGGGTTTCTCTGTGTAGTCCCAGCTGTCCTAGAACTCTACTTTCTGTAGACCAAGCTAGCTTGGAACTCAGAGATCCACCTGCTTGGATAAAACCACCCATTCCTCTATCTCTGGACTTTTAAGTATTTTTTTTTAGATAGATCTGTGTGTGTGTGTGTGTGTGTGTGTGTGTGTGTGTGTGTGTGTATTAAGTGTTGTACCTGCATGCATGTCTATGTGCATCACACATGTGCCTAGTGCTCAAGAGCTCAGAAGAGAGGGTGTCAGATCCCCTGGAACTGGAGTTATGGGTGGTTGTGAGCCACCATGAACATGAACTTTATAGAGGCATTTTAATGGTTACCAGT